TGTTTTTATAGCAATACGCATGCGCCGCTCGTTGATATTGTAGGACAGGTCTCATCGATTTTTATACTTCCAGAGAATCTTCACTTCTCAAGCTACTCGAATATGCTTTTTGTGCATCTACAAGAAAGTCAATCAGTACCTGGGTTCAAGCGAAATCTGATTGGGTGCTGACCAGCCGACTTGTTGACGACAGCTCGATGCATGTAGTGTAGAACAAACTTCCAGAGCTCTTTCATACAATATCATTCGGATAAGTCCCGTGACATCAAAACGAATTAGGAATCGTGTGCAAATTCGAATCGAGTCATTCTTAGACTACTAAATGATGGGTTATGAGCCATGTTATTCATTACGGTCAATGCTCATTCGGCGGCATTTCGAAATTTTATACACCGTTCAAGGAAAACGAGTGCAAGATGAGAAGAGATGAGATACTAGTTCAATTCAGATCTTTCGTAATATACCGAATTTAGTCTTATAAGTCGTGCGGAGTTGTTGTAGTCGTTGAACAAGTAGAAATATGAATCGTGAAAGATGAGACAGACACGAACGTTATCCAGAGCATTGCTCCTCAAAAGTAACCGAAAGGATTTTCTCACATATTTTGCATAGAATGAGCTCTGTGTTAACCTTTTTAGTTATCAGAGCCTAGTGTTTCAGAGGTTATTAAAAATTGAATCTTTCACGAGAAATTCATCGAAGAAACTGTTCCTACATGTAGAAAGCGTCTGAATTGTAACGTAATACGACTAGTACATTTTGATAGCCTGCCGACCGAAGAATCGTCTCTTACAGTATTTATCGATATCTAGACTATAAGGTAAACAACCAACAAGTGTCGTGCAAGCGAAGTAATATCAATTTGGCAGCATCGCATTATTGCCGAAGCGCCTCTATTGCGTCGAGCTACGGCATATGCTGAACACAACTGAGGAGCGTGTATTTGTAATTTCAAAGCCCATAAATAGACATTCTATCTGCCAAATCGATTCGGGACCAAGTAAGAAAAAGGCGATCTCTTATATGTCAGTTCAACTTGACCTAGGCATTTAGATCTAGGATGAATGCTTCTCAGCAGTCGACCCTTCGAAAGAACCCCGATTCCGAGAAAAAAAATCACATGAGGCTTCATTGATTGCTCATTTCTCTATATTTCTCTATGTTTGAATTTGTTTTTAGTCTCCAGGTGAGAGTTGCACGACCAATGCTTGGCCCAACGGAAGGTCGTGTGTGAAGAATTGTGGACGGGATTTTCCTGAGTCCAAACTCCACAACGGCAACTCACCGACAGCTTGCAGCGCAGCATCCTGCCGCTTCCAATCTGATGGTCTCGTGATTCCTTTTCGCGAAAAAAATGAAGTCTGCTACAATTCCGCCATGCTCTGGCCTGGGCTGCTCCAGCTTGTGCTCCTCGAGCCGTCGCCGAAGATCGGACCAGCGGCGATCCACTTTGAAGGCGTGCTCCAATCCCGTTCGGGTAATTTACAATTCCTAGACGCCCCAAAAATTTCCCCAGATGCGTCTGAATCTCTCACGTCTTAAACCTCTACCCGAACACCAAGATATTCTCAGCCTGGGGGGAATTGGCACTATGGCACCAATTCTCATGGCCAGCCGCTCGGGCGGCGCACTGGCGGTACGCCCCTCCCCCTCTAACCCCCCGAGCCCCTCCTAGAGACACACTGACACTCATCGCAGCAAGTCCTGCGACGACGCACCGCCGGCCCCGGAGCATCACGACTTATGACCATCACCGCCTCCTCCGCCCGCAGACACCTCTCCACGGCCCAATCGCTGCCCCCGACCTATGAGAAGCTCTTCAACAAGTACACCGAAGTCCGACGGGTCCTCGGGAAGCAGCGCCTGACCCTCGCCGAGAAGATCCTCTACAGCCACCTGCACAACGTCGAGGAGTCGCTGCTCAACAACACCGACAATGGCCGTAGTATCCGGGGCAAGGCCAACCTGCGCCTCAACCCTGACCGTGTCAACATGCAGGATGCTTCCGCCCAGATGGCCCTGCTCCAATTCATGTCCTGCAACCTGGCCCGCCCTGCTATCCCCGCCAGCATCCACTGCGACCATCTGATTGTTGGATACAAGGGTGCCGAGGGTGATCTGGAAGCTGGTATTCAGACCAACAAGGAGGTTTTCGAATTCCTCGAGTCTGCCGCCCGCAAGTATGGAATGGACTTCTGGCCTCCTGGAGCTGGTATCATCCACCAAACCGTCCTGGAAAACTACGCCCTGCCCGGTCTGATGATGCTCGGAACCGATAGTCATAGTCCCAACGCCGGTGGTCTCACCACTATCACCATCGGTGTCGGAGGTGCTGACGCAGTCGAGGCCCTTGTTGGTGCTCCCTGGGAACTCAAGGCCCCCAAGATCCTTGGTGTTGAGTTGACTGGCAAGCTCAATGACTGGGTGTCTCCCAAGGACGTCATTCTTCGGTTAGCGGGCGAACTGACCGTTCGTGGTGGAACCGGATCTATTATCGAGTACTTTGGTCCTGGTGTCGAGACCCTAAGTTTGACTGGCAAGTCGACTATCTGCAATATGGTTCGTTGTCTCATACTGCTCCCTTAATAAATGCCACATATAAGTGCTAACCACTTCACGCAGGGGCAAGTTTTCCTAACCGTCCATAACGAGAATCTCATTAGGGTCCTCTGTTTTAATCTTAGACTAACCTTTCGTATAATATAGTGCCGAAGTAGGAGCAACCACCTCCATTTTCCCCTACACAGAGTCGTCTGCTCGATACCTGGAAGCCACCAGCCGAAGTCAAGCAGTTCGCAACATTGAAACCCTACAGAAGTTCCCCGGCAGCGGCGCTGGCAAGGACGCCTATTTCCGATTCAGCGCAGATGAAGGAGCTGAGTATGACCAAGTTATCCGAATTGACCTCTCCACACTTGAGCCTCACATCAACGGCCCCTTCACTCCTGATCTGGCAATCCCCCTCTCCAAGTTCAAGGAGACTGTCAAGGACCAGCAGTGGCCCGAGAAGCTCTCCGCCGGCCTGATTGGCAGCTGCACCAACAGCTCGTACGAGGATATGACTCGTGTCGAGAGTTTGTTGAAGCAGGCTGCCGCTGCCGGCCTCAAGCCCTCCGCCGACTTCTACATCACACCCGGAAGCGAGCAGATCCGCGCCACCCTCGAGCGTGATGGAACCCTCGAGACATTCGAGGGCGCCGGCGGAATCGTCCTCTCCAACGCCTGCGGCCCCTGCATCGGCCAGTGGAAGCGCAAGGACGGCGTCGAGAAGGGCACCCCCAACGCCATCCTGACCTCGTACAACCGCAACTTCCGCGGCCGCAACGACGGCAACCCCGACACCATGAACTTCCTCGCCTCGCCCGAGATCGTCACGGCCATGGCCTTTGCCGGGTCAACCACCTTCAACCCCATGACGGACGTGATCAAGACCCCAGACGGCAAGGACTTCAGGTTCTCCGCGCCCCACGGCCTCGAGGGTCCCTCGACCCCCTTCGAGCCCGGCAGCGAGTCCCTCCGCGTCCTGTCCCAGGAGGCCGACGCCAACACCCAGGTCGCCATCTCCCCCACCTCGGAGCGCCTCGCCTTCCTCGACCCCTTCCCCCCCTTCCCCGGGTCCGACCTCTCCGGCCTCCGCGTCCTCGTCAAGATCACGGGCAAATGCACCACCGACACCATCTCCGCGGCCGGTCCCTGGCTCAAGTACAAGGGCCACCTCCCCAACATCAGCACAAACACCCTCAACACCGCCGTCAACGCCGAGACGGGCGAGGTCAACGCCGCCTACGACCTCGACGGCTCCAGGCACACCATCCCCGACCTCGGCCAGCTCTGGAAGGACAGGGGCCAGGAGTGGCTCGTCGTCGCCGAGCACAACTACGGGGAAGGGTCCGCCCGCGAGCACGCCGCCCTCCAGCCCCGCTACCTCGGCGCCCGCATCGTCCTCGTCAAGTCCTTTGCGCGCATCCACGAGACCAACCTCAAGAAGCAGGGCGTCGTGCCCCTCACCTTCGAGAACGAGGCCGATTTCGACAAGATCGCCGCCGGAGACCAGGTCGCTACTGTCGGCCTTTACGAGATGCTCCAGAACGGCGGCAAGGGCACCGTCCAGGTCAGGGTCACCAAGGACTCGGGCGAGGAGATCCTCATCCCTACCAAGCACGCCGTTACCAAGGATCAGGCCGGCTTCATCCTGGCTGGCAGTGCTCTGAACCTGCTGTCCAAGGGCCTGTAGGAAGGCGGCTTTCACCGCTTGCTGACCGGTCTATCTTTCTTGTTCCCTTTCCTTATACGTTGTTATATTGAGTCATACATATATACCACCGTGTTTTGGATCTAGCTTGTCGAATTTAGAGGCGTTGAAAAAGGGGGGGCTGGCAAAAAAAGAAGGCAGTGGAATCATTTTCAATGACATCGCTGAATCTTATTAAATATGTTTTCTCGTTTACCCATTTTGTATAAAGTGCCATCTACCCAGCTACCCATCACGGTTTGAAGTGATGCTCCAGGTGAAGATATCACCATACCCAGTTAAGCTCCCACTGTATAATCTGCCCTATCCCAGCTCAGAGAGTGCTCGTTTGCCCTCCGTGCAAACAGCATGTAGGTAAATATGTGGCCATCTATTGGTTACAGAACACGGTCCTCCCTCGGAAGGACTGAAGATGAAAATCTAGATAGAATAGTAAGCAATCTCGGAAGGGCCTTCTCTATATCTTCTCTGCCAGGAGTTGACTCCCCCCGCGCGCCCCCTCGACTGTTGCCTAGCTGCCAGCAAAAACTCCGTGTGCCCATGTCCCTGTGTCTCTGGGTATCATTGACTCCTCCAATGAATTATCCCGAGCTCATGAATTGATTGTAAAAAAAAATCGAAAAAAAGTCCTTTGCCCTCTGACGCCTTCAATAAAGTCTGCCGTAAGCGTAACCGGGCATTATAGAAATGATGCGCTACCCAAGAAAAGAAAGCCGAGTTCACAAGATCCTGATCTATTGGCTTTGTGTTACGCTTGTTTCATCGAATTGTAGAACTCCTCAGTTTGCCGCATGAACTTCGAGGCCAGCTGTCTTTGCGCGATTTCCTTCCTGGTGAGGGGTCTTTTCTCAACCTCTACTTGCTGCTTCACTCGTTCTCGGCGCTGCACAGTAGAGTCCACTACATCCTTTCTAGTTCTTGCGTCACGAAGCCTGCCGCAAAACTTCAGCCATGCAGGATTCTCTTTAACATATGATGGGAGATCATCTTCTGGGACATCGCCAAAATCGAGGGATCTCTGATGTGTCCAAGGTTCTGGATCTTTCCTCTTGGGACCTCTTTCCCGAAGCCCGTTATCGCTCGGCCGAGATATTTTGTCTTGTTGCGACCTTAACCACCGTTGTCTCTCTCTGACTCTTCCAAACCATTTCTTTCGAGCTCCTGGAGGTCGAAGGGCGAGTTTTTTTCGGTACCACTCCTCCGATCGCTCATGCATTCCTTGAATCGCTGGATCTCGGTGAAGATAGAGGCGATCGTCTAATTGCGATCTATCGTTGCCTTTCTTGCCATGTCCAAAAGCACGTACACCTTTCGGCGGTGATAAGGTTCCAGGCTGTGCATATATTAAAGCATCAAATGCGTCGGAATCAAAGGCTTTTTTCTCCGGGTTTACCCGAATCCTTGGTCTCGATGCCGCCAGGTGGGCAAAACCATTCGTAAGAACAGGAGCAGGCGTGATCGGACGAGCTTCGTCGACACCATTCACTGTCACATTTTGGTTTGCCGGACCAGCTCCACCACCATTTACCATAAGAGCCCCAGTTGCGGGCCCAGGCTCGTTATTCTCGTTCATTACAACGGGCCTTGGAGTGTCGGTATCCCCATCAACCATGATGACTGAATCCGCTGAGCCAACGCTCTCATCCAGATCCATCATGACAACTGGGCTCGCTGACCCAGTATTACCATCCTCATATAGGTTTACTGGGCTCGCTGAGTTAGCTTGATCATCCTTATTTAACGTCAAAACTGGGCTCGCTGAGCTGGTGCCATCATCATCATCATCCGCAATGACAACCGGACTCTGAGGATTGAGAGTATATCCGTTGGGAAGTATAACAGGGTGACGTGATGTGACAAGTACAGCGGTATGAGGCATCCCATTGATTGTAAACTTCTTGATGATGGGGTTTTTTAACGTACCCAACGACGTCAGCGTTGTACCTGCGTCCTTGCTACTCCCGATAGGGTCTGCCTGCTTCGGCTTCCCCAACGTGCCATTAGGAACACTATTTTCTGAGTCTACATTTGTAGCAGAAGTATAGCCAGAACCCGGCGTTGATTCTTGGTAAGTTGTAGGCCTGGCACTGGATTGCGACTTTGGTGTGGAGGAAGAGCTTCGCATTTCAATAGCCTGCACCGACGTAGGGGTAGATTTGAGGGAGCGGTTGTCCTTGCGAACGCTGGAAGGTTTAGTAGCCGGGTGCATGGAAGCAGTAGAAGTTGGCGTGGTACCGTTCTTGCTCGTTTTGGACTTGGCCACTCCACTATCAGAGCGAAGCAGGCCAGGGGAAGGAGACGCGCTGAATTCATTACGGAACCCATTCATGACGGGCCCAGAATTCGACTGGCCATTCTGCGGCCTTGGGGCACGTACAATGTCTTTAAATAACTTGAGGGGAGCGTTTGTGGTGGACAGCATGTCTGTTGGCGGCCCCTGGCCGTAGTTGACGAACGCAGTAGTAGGTTCTGAGAATTGATTGACGCCGGCAGGGAGACTGCCATTCACGGGGTGGCCGTTGGGGTTGCCGGTGTCTATGGTGATAGAGGAAGAACGTTGCTGCTCCTTCAGGCCCGGGTTGGCGCTCCTGCCTGCATTTGCAACGGAAGGTGATGCGCAAGAGACGGATCGTTTGATCGAGTTCCAGCCAGCAGAGTTAGCATGTGACTTGGCCGGGGGGTTCTCTTGATTAGACGCAGACTTGGGCGAGTTGAATTCGTGTCTGCAGATTACTGGCGAGGAACCGGCTGAGGTTGTCTTTTCCGGCGCGGGGCGTGAGTGAGGCGCGAAGGCCCTTTTGGTCCTCTTGGTCTTGACTTTCTTAGCACTTGAACTAGGCGTGTGCTGATGATGATGATGATGGGCGCTGTTGGGTGTCCCTGCGGTATAAGAATGGGGATGGGTGTGCGAATTGGAGTTCGCATTGGTGGTGGCAGTAGCAGTAGCGGTGGTTGTGGTCGTGGTTGTGGCGGTAACAGTGACAGTAATACTACCACCGCCACCACCAGGGCCAGCACTCCCTTTGTTGCTTGTGCCGTTGGCGTGGCTCGTGGTGCTATTGGTGTTAGTAGTCGTCGTGGTAGTGCTGGCACCGGGGTTGAAGCTGGCATTGGTGCCGTTGTTGACGCCGCCTATGCCGTTGCTGTGCATACCAGCGCCATTTGGTCTTGGGTGGTGGTTGTTGGTGGTAGCATTGTGTTGCTGCGATGTAGCTTTGCCTGAGTTGAGATAGTAGTGCGCGTTTGGCGCGCCATTTGGAGTAACCCCGCTAAATGAGGTCCCTGGGCTCGGGGCCTGGGAATATCCAGCGTATTCTAGCATGGTGGAGAGGCAACAATAGGAAAAAGAAGTGCCACCCTCGCAGGAGATGAGAAGGTGTATCAGGTGTCTGTTTGAACTACCGCGCTCTCAACATGCCGCGGAAACACCAAACAGGCACAAAACGATGGAGCTGTTCAAAACTGAAATGGATAGAACCTGACCTAGACAATACTCAACGCATTAGCATGATGAGACCATAATGAATTCGGCGCAACCAAAGCAGAAATAACACAACATGTCGAAGTCAGATCTTTTCAGTTTATTTTCGAGCCTTCATCCATGGAACAGCAGCGGTTACGACAACACCTCAGAACAGCAACCCGAGAGGATCAGTTGTCAAAACTCGGGCCCCCCTGCATTCGGCACTGTTGGCCACGGCCTTTCGTCTGGACCCATAGCGCGTTTGGGATCCAAACACCATGTTGTGACCTGCGTGTTGATGAGTGTCTGGCAGCCGGGACTCAGATGCCAAATAAGACACACATGAGTCCACAGATAACGAGGCTTATCCAGACACGGCAGTAAGGCAAGAAAAGACAAGCCGGAGCCGCTAATCTGCTGCCATCCACCAAAAAAGTAGTGTCGCTGAGCGAGGTGTTGAAGCACCCAGAAGGTTCCGCTAAGTCAGACCTTTTACCATCGGCATCATTCGATTGGCATGTTGGTGTATAGGCAGTGGGCAAGTCAAGCATGTTCTGGATTCTACTTACTGAGTGTCGGGAATGCCCAATTAAGCCGGGAGAGTCGAGGAGATTCCGACAGGCTCTTGCGCCTTTGGCCAGCGTTCAGTCGGCTGGTTAAGTGGAATGGGCGAACACCGAGAGAAAGCGCGTTTGCGCGCAACAGCACCAAGCCGTGTCAAGCTTCAGAGACACGGCCGCTGCACATAGCCTGACAAAAGACCATGTCTAGGGGGCGGATTCCTCTGATGTGATGCGATGCGCCGTGTCCCGATCCAAGTTCAAAGGTCGTGTTCAGCCAGAAAGTTTGCTGGTTCCGTTTGTACACGTGAGTGGTGAAAAGCAATCGCGAAAGCCGGAGCACACCGACCACGTCTCCCACCCAAGAAAAGAGACAGATAAGCCGTATGACGATGATGCAAAGAAAAATAAAAATAAAAGGCCAGTGGAACAAGGCAGGATCCGATCCAACGACACACCGCAGGGGAGGCCAGACAGATCTTCCCGCGTGTTTTTGCTGATGGGAGGCCAAGGAAATGCGGCAGAAGAGTAAAGTTGGTAATTAAGCAAGTAGGAGTGGAGGCCATGCGTGTTATGGTCGATGGAGGGTTCCGTAACGGGCGAAGCGCCTAGGGGGGACCAGCCCCGGCGGGAATTCAATCATTCAGGTGGGGGAGGTCCCTGGGCCACCGCGGCTCCCAGCTAATGGCAGAGGGCCTGGTGACTGGCCCAGCGCACGCAACCTGCCCAGCGCTCTCTTATTTTTGTCGCCGATGTGGCCCAAGCGCCGGCGACTGTCCATTCTACCACCTACCAAGTGCAGCAGGAACGTGCCACCACCCGTCCGAGCCGTGGCGTTTGCTTCCAGCGTCTCGCTAATTGCCTGACGCCCGGACCTTCCATCCACATCAAGTCCCATTACTCGTCACGCGCCATGGCTGCGCTCTGCATCTCACCCTTGGCCTGCCTTCAAGTTGGGATCCAATGTTGACATCGCAGATACTTGAGGCCTTGCCCAGGTAATCGCCACCCGCAATAGCTTATGCGGCTCAAGTTGAGAAATCCGTGTGTCCTTCGGAATGCAGCCAGGAACTAACCGAGCGGAGAGTCTCTATTCGAAATTCGCACTGTAGGTCTAGCTGGTGGCATATTATTCATTCCACAGAGCATGGCCCGATTTGCCGATCTCATCTCACCCTGCCTCTCTTCTTCTCTTCTTCAAACGGCTGCTCTTTGTTCTTCGATCAGATTACTAATTCATTGATATGGGAAACCTACGACGCCCGAGCCACGAGGAGCATCGCGTGCTACAGGTAATACAACAGCTGATGAGATCCTGCAAGTGCAGAGGGCGGTTGGTGCAGGGGTGAGAAGCCTTGCCTACCTAACTTAATCAGAAGATATTGGACTGCATTGGGGAACTACAACGCTCTCTTCTCTGCCGCCTCTCAGTCCTCTCTGTGCAACGCTGGCCATTGGCGGAACCGCTCGCCTAATATTATCAATACTACCACACCCACTCAGAACGGAACTTTTTGCCCGCCCTCTGCCCAATGAGTTCATGGGACATTGGGAGTCACCTGTCGCTAGCGACGCCGCTCACGGTCATCATCAGCCTCGGGTCTAGGTTGGTCAAAAACGCTGGTTCAAGCGTTCTAAGTCATGTTATCGGCTGATAGATCGAGAACAAGGCGTTCGAACAGTCCTACACCGACTTCGTGAGGCAAAAAGAGTAAGTATGAATGATTGATGCAGGCCTGATCCAGGATAAGCCGAATATCCTTTCAAGGAAAGTGGGTCGAACTCAAGAACGATTGTTTTTCGCACCACAGCAAAACAGCCATCGATGTCTTGATGATCTAGCATGATGATAGACTGTCTAGGAATTTTAGATGGAGTGGTGGATCCTCACTCTTGCTGCGAAATCAGCAAATAACTACGTATATTTGAAGGGTCGCTGTCTCAGCTGCCCCTTATGCTGGCACCCTGCCAAAAAGGTCGAGAAATGATTGCTCGCAAGTCACCAATCCACGAACATGCTTGTGATGTATTCAGCCATGACACGGATTTTGATTTTATTTTATTCCTTTCCCGTTGAATTAAAATGTTCCGGCATGCGTGTCTAATCACAGCGAATAAATATCAATTATCAGACGCGAGATTGGCATATTGGTTCACTTACCATCTTCAAACTCTAGGGTACCAGGGTTAGGGTTGCACTGTGTAGAAGAAATCATTTGATCAGACCGAGGCTGGACCCAACAGCTAGCAACCGCGATAGTAGCCTGCCGGCGGTAAGATAAGGAAGGGAACATAATATGAAAACCAAACGGGCAAAAGATAATCGTGATCGACATCATGCCTCAGGCAGTGGCTGGCTAGCTCTCAGTCATTCAATACCTATGTACTGTGGAGTGAGATTATAGTCTGGGAAAGTATAGTGACATACGAGCATGAACATGTCACTATCGAACAGAACCAATGCACATCGGCGAATAAATCATTAGGAATATCACTCTTGCCTTTCTTAAGTTATTCCCAGATCAAATATCTGTTCAATTTATTTCATCAAAAAAGTGCTGATGTTGAACGGTTCGGACGAGCCATCGGGGCAAAATCGGAATGGTTCTTCGTAGAAGATGCTTTTTACAATGCCAAGTCACTGACCAGATACCGATGCCGACCTATGACTGAAGTATGGAAAAAAGACTACAATCTACTTGTAATGTGAGTGTCTTAAGTATAATCGATCCTCTTTCATTATAACTATTCTGATACGCCGAAATTTCGAAGGGGGCAACAGACAAGACTGGAACTATGCCTGCGATTTATCCACTTCTGGGCGTTTTGCCACCTTAGGGATGTGACATCCGGTTAGTCTTTCTTTCCTGATAGGCCATTAGTCAACCGCATTTCATTTTTGGCCAATTCAACTCATTGCCAGCATCGGATTGCCATAGGATCTCTGGCTAGAATAGGCTTGGATGAGAATGAGAGTTGCAACGACTAGATTCCAGGCGTGAGTGTGGGCAGGCCTCTGATTGGCCCTGTATTTTTAAGGGTCTTCATGCCGCCACCCGTTGTATCGGATAATATATTCATCCGGCGGGGTGATTCCAGAACTTGCGTTCCGGCGTCGGAGGGGCACTAGTCAGGCAGGACTCATCTTCGTCCCGAGTGGAAAATCTTTCGACGGTTGAACAAGAAAAACCGCGGCATCATGGCGACCTATTCGAAGAGTGATACTCATACTGAGTCCCAGATCTACCTCTCGACAAGAGGCGGTGATTACGGTGTATGCTATATTCTTGTCTTTTAACATTGGCACCGTTCAGTCGCTAATTCACTATTGCCAGCTTTCATTTGAGAATGTGGTCTTGAAGGGACTCGCTGCAGATGGCGGTCTTTTTCTGCCTCACGAGATCCCCTCTGCAAAGGATTGGGTATGTCTCTCCCAGACTGATAGCCCTGGCCAAATTTTCCCAAGACGCCTTGTCTGGACAATTGGCATTGGCTGCAACCCCCTGAATGACGATCCCTAGGGGTCTAACAAATCCAATAGGAGAGCTGGAAAGATCTGTCCTACACAGAGTTGGCATTGAAGATCTTCAGCCTATACATTTCAACATCCGAGATCCCAACTGATGACCTGAGAGCTCTAATTGAGCGAAGTTATTCCACATTCCGCTCAAAAGATGTCACTCCATTGGTTCATCTGCACGATAACATCCATCTGCTGGAACTTTTCCACGGCCCCAGTTTCTCCTTCAAGGACTGCGCCCTGCAGTTCTTGGGTAATCTTTTCGAGTATCTTCTCGCCCGTAAGAATGAGGGAAAGGAAGGCAATGGTAAATTTTCATGACCTTACCCCCCTGACATGTCAAGAGACTGACAGTAGACTAGATAGACACCACCTGACCATTGTCGGCGCTACTAGCGGTGATGTAAGTCATGGCTCTCTATATGTGCACTTCATTTAGCTGACATTCCATCAGACTGGATCTGCAGCTATCTATGGTCTTCGAGGCAAGAAGGACGTGTCGGTTGTTATCCTGCACCCCAAGGGCCGCATTAGCCCCATCCAGGAAGCACAGATGACGACCTGCCCTGATGCGAACGTTCACAACGTCGCCGTGACTGGAACCTTTGATGATTGCCAGGACATCGTCAAGGCACTGTTCGGAGATGCCGACACAAACAAGGCTGTGAAGCTTGGTGCCGTCAATTCGATCAACTTTTCGCGAATTCTCGCCCAGATTGTTTACTACTTCTACTCATACTTCCAACTCGCCAAGACGTCTCCAACATTTAAGGTTGGCGACAAAGTGCGATTTGTGGTTCCCACCGGAAACTTCGTCAGTTTGCAACCCTACCCCAGCCCGTTGATACCAGCTTGAGCTAATTAATTCAATTAGGGTGACATCTTGGCTGGTTACTTTGCTACCCGCATGGGTCTCCCTGTGGACAAGCTTGTCATTGCCACAAACGAGAATGACATTCTTGACCGATTCTGGAAGACAGGCCGATATGAGAAGAATGGGCCAGCTCCCGGCTCTGAGGCTAATGGAGATAACAATGACGACGGCGTGAAGGAGACTCTCAGTCCTGCAATGGACATCCTCGTCTCGAGCAACTTCGAACGCCTCCTCTGGTTCCTCGCATACGAGTTCGCCGCGACTGTTGGAATGGATGAGGAGTTCAACAGGAAGCAGGCTGGCCAGGAAGTCAGCGTATGGCTCAAGGACCTCAAGCAAAAGGGAGGTTTCGGTCCTGTCTACCAGGACGTGCTCGTTTCCGCGCGAAAGACGTTTGAGAGTGAGAGGGTGAGCGATACCCAGACTCTGGAGACCATCAAGTTATTTTACGAGAAGATCCACTATGTTCTCGATCCTCACTCCGCCGTCGGTGCCGCAGCTACCCTCCGATCCGTTGAGCGAGCTGGAGCCGAGATCCCCCACATCTCTCTCTCAACAGCGCACCCGGCCAAGTTTGCTGATGCCGTCGAACAAGCCCTCAAGGACGAGACGGGCTTCAACTTTGAGAAGGAGGTGCTGCCCGAGGAGTTTGTTGGGCTTGATAAGCTTCCCAGGCGTGTGACTACCATCGAGAACAGCTGGCAGGCAGTAGGAAAGCTGGTTGAGGAGCGCGTGACAGAGGAGCTCAAGGCCAAAAGCGGTTAAGATAAAATTTTGGATAGACTTGCTTTTTGTTTCACATACCTGTGTTGATATTGTCATTCCCACAAGCATTTCCATCATAATGAAGAGTATGAGAATGGCGCATAGATTTCAAGAGCAACAAAGATGGGGTAAGCCCATTCACAACACGCCTGTTTTGGACTTGAAATAGGCAGTCGAATACTGGCTTCAAAAATTCGAGTAGAAGGACTATTTGATCTAGCGATCACGGCCAGGTGGCGACGACTGCATGACTGTATATGGTATCGTTATGACTTAGGTTGAATCTCGAACACGGGTGAACTTTCATTTGGATTATGAGTATTGTAAATTATTTGAATCGTAGGCCTTCTGAGCGACAAGCCGTGCTTAGAGACAAATCGATTATGCATGGCTTTACTTGGTGCCTCGCAGTGAACTTGGAGTGGCAGGCGGAAGAACAAGACACCATACGGCTGATATGATAATTGCACGTGGCGAGACAGGTGATAAAATGGAAGATGTATGAATGATAGTTGTTATTGAAAGTTGGTTTACTGCCGAATACTAATAGTAGGCACCGACCTACCTAATTAAGGCCGTTGCATCGGCATGTCTTGGTGGGGCCTTGGCTTGGAGGGGCGACTGCCAGGGCGTGTTCCAAGTTAGTTGTCCATTGAATGCTCCACGCTTGGTTGATCCGACCCTCAACACATCACGTCGACACAGAGCTGGCCGCCAGCTGCGACTTTGCTGAACTGCGCGCACGTCTTTGCGCCCATATCGCCGTACAACAGACCCGTTGCTTTGTTCAAGGGTCCCTGATCTCGCGACGAGGACACAATCAGAGCTTCCCACTCTAGTCTCCGGCAAACCCAGCCTGACCTGAGCTCGACTTCGCGATGGACTTCTTGAAGTCCGCCGTGGCTTCGGCCATGGCCTCTGGCCCCCCTTTCCCATATACCTACGGCGACAAGGTCGACATCGACGAGTCTATCTGGACCCTGCACAATGGAACCAAGAGGGTACCCAAAACTCTCCCCTCGCCAACCAGCTATCCCTTCCAAGCTAACATGCTCCCATCAGGAGGATGGCTCCAACTGCAGCATCTTTTCATTCGACATTCCTGCCAACAAGTCCCTCTTACCACTGGCGAAGAACGCGCTCAAGAAATTACGAACCCTCCGTCACCCCGGCGTACTGAAGGTCCACGATACCGTCGAGGTACGAAGTCTCCGTACTCATCCGCTCGAACCGACCTCGAGAGCTGACATAAATACCAGACCGAAACGAAACTATTAATCGCGACCGAGCGCGTTGTTCCCTTACGATGGCATATACGAAGAAAGAGCTTAAGTCCCGAGACCATCAAATGGGGTTTGCACGGGATTGCGGTACGATCATGGTTTCCCTTCGCTGGCTAATAAGGCAGCCATGCTAATGCCTCTCCCAGCGCACGATCAAGTTCATAAATGGCGATGCGTCATCTATACATGGCAGCCTCAAAGTTGGGTCTATCTACACCTCAGAGAGCGGGGAGTGGAAGCTGGGTGGATTCGAGGTGCTGAGCAGTATTAAAGACGACGAGTCCGTCATATACGTAAGGGCGCTTAATTTTTTTTAATGAATCGAGAGGTACTACAATCAGAACGCTGACAAAATTATTAGACTTATGGCTCCTTGGTACCCGATTCTCCTCGTTATTCTCCTCCCGAGGTCGCACAAAACGGATGGGAGGTTATCAAGAAGCATCCACAGACAGCTGTCGATGCCTTTGATTTTGGCATCTTGGTATTCGAGGTCTTCAATGGAGAATATCACGGCACAGACCAGGCTGGGCAGACCAAGAATGTCCCCCCTTCTATGCAGTCAAGCTACAGGCGACTTTGCAATAACAATCCGAAGGCTCGTATCAGTGTCGGAAACTTCTTGGATCAGGGTGTTCGGACCGGTTCCTTCTTTGACAATTCCCTGATCAAGTTGACAGAAGGAATCGATAACTTGGGTGTGAAAACACCGGAAGAGCGTGAAGAATTTCTTAGGTGAGAAGCGCCCTGAGCTTGGGACCGTTTCTAGTCAGTTGTATCTAACCGTACATATAGTGATCTGGATCAGCTTAGCGACGACTTCCCCGAAGACTTCTTCAAGCTCAAAGTGTTACCGGAGCTGATCAAGTCAGTTGAATATGGTGGCGGCGGGCCAAAGGCTCTCAATGTCATCTTCAAGATTGCTACCAAAATGTCTAATGAGGATTTTGAGAGCAAGATCACCCCCTTTGTTGTTCGAGCGTTTTCGAATCCTGATCGCGCCCTTCGAGTTTGTCTGTTGGATAACCTGCATTTAATGATTGATCGGATACCGCAGAAGATTGTCAATGACAAAATATTTCCCCAGCTGGTCAGTTTTTTTCGTTCCTATCAAGATATACCCCGGTTTTCTCTAACATGAAAGGAATATTCAGGTCACTGGGTTTACGGATGTTGCACCGGTTGTCCGTGAACAGACGCTCAAGTCTGTTCTTGTGATTGTCCCTAAGCTTTCAGATCGAACAATTAATGGTGATCTGCTGAAGCAACTTGCCAAGACTGCAAATGATGAGCAGCCTGGAATCCGCACAAACACTACCATTTGCCTGGGAAAGATCTCTAAGCACCTAGGCTCATCTACAAGATCCAAGGTGCTAACCGCGGCGTTCAGTCGCTCATTGAGGGACCCATTTGTGCCTGCGAGAAACGCCGCCCTCATGGCACTTGGAGCGACGGTCGAGCACTTCAGTGACGAGGACTGCGCAGGAAAAATTCTCCCTGTCGTGTGTCCTCTACTCATGGACAAGGACAAGCTTGTTCGGGACTCTGCCAATCGCACAGTCGATACGTATCTTGTCAGAATCCGCAAGGCAGCTTCAGAAATTCCGGATACTACGACAACGGCACCTCAACCTTCGATTAGCGGTATCGCATCGCCGAACGTGACCCAGGGAGAGGTTGCTGGCTGGACAGGATGGGCTATTTCATCATTCACAAACAAGCTGTCTGCGTCGGCCGGCAGCATGCAAGCTACAAATGGAAACCTAGTATCTCCACAGCCCTCGCCGGCACTGGATCCACGTAAGTCGGGAGGTGCAAACACCCCTCTAACAGCTTCCCGTGTCACCTCACCAAACCCTACAACGGTAGCACGAGCTTTCTTCCCGCCTGAGGAACCACAGGATGATGGGGGTGATGGCTGGGGCGATATGGCCGACGATGACGATGACGGTTTCTCCGAGAAGCCGTCCTCATCTGCTGGCCAGAAGAACTCCACACCAACAGTTGCCGCCGCGCCATTTGATGATGGCGGTGAGCCTGACTTTGCTAGCTGGCTAGAACAGCGAGCAAAAGGCCCAGCAAAATCAAAGCCTCTCCCGAAAGGCCTCGCAAAGTCCACAACAGCCACGGGAGCAAAGAAGACGGTGACGAAACCAGTTTCAAAACCGGCCGCTAAGCCTCTAGCTGCAAAGAAGATCAATATGGCGCCCAAGGCATCTGCCGACGACGACGAGGGCTGGGGAGACGGTTGGTAATCTTCTTGTCAACTATTAATGAATGCCTTACGAGATACACATACATTGACGAGAGCGAAGTATACATTGGCGTCAAGGGGGGTATTAAAATTGCAATTATTTTCTTCATAACTCCCACCTCCATACTAGCTGGCTCAACTCGACATTTATCTACCTATGGATTTATGGATAGGTGACCAAACCCCTTTTCTATATTGTGGGAGACGAGGAGGAGCTTTTAGTACTTTAGCAAGCGTACATATTGAGGTCCTAATTCCTTCTCCTGGGTACACAGCATACAATATTTACCAATATTTACATAGATTTGGATAATTACGTCTATCAATTACACCTCTGGTGTTGTGTCCAGGAACTCAAGTGATGCCGTATTTGTCAATTGTATAGAACGACTATGCCTTAGTATCAGCGTCAGGGGAATTGAGGAGATTCTACCTTGATCGTGTTAGCTTTGTGTTGCCGAGCTAAGACCATGTTGTATGGAGATGGTCGCAAGGGAATCTTGGATCGCGTTGTGTGTCTAATAATAATAGTGATTGAGCTTCCTATTGCGTTGAGGTTAGCATCGTCTTGGACGCGCTGTGATGTTGGGTGGCGTGAGCATGTTGTACTGTTTTGTAGTGTTAGTTGCAGTAACGGTGTTGTAAGGTATAATTTCTTCTCAAACACTATTAAGCATGATGTTAAGACAATGCCTCTCGTTGCAGTATATGGAATAGTAACGTGATTGTTTTTAGGAGCATCATCTTATAATCAGAACTATATCCATTTGAAGATTATGATATGGGAAGAAGTTATCCTTTGATGGGAATGTCTATGGTAATTGGTTCTTGGTTGAGATCTGATCTGCTGGTATATTGACTCTTCCTGCTATATTTGCCCTACCAGCTAAGTATATGTAGCGCATTCGACATACCACTGATACATACGACCATACCTATTCGAGAACACGCGATCCCGTCCGCTCTCGCCTAGTTAAACGGATAAGGGGCCGATTAGTAGTTGGGTCGGTGACGACCAGCGAATACCGGCTGTTGTATGTTTTTTCATCTTTTTTTGGTTTTTTTTTTGGTTTTCTAATTTCTATGTTTTCGATGTGGATACTACTCTGGTAATGCTACAAGGATGTAAGAGCGGCATTAATGTGGGGGCACTATCGGCGCCAAGAACTTGGGGAAATCGATAACACATGGGCAAAAAAAAAGTATCTCTCCATTCCCAGCTCCAACAACCATTCCCTCCCCCCCCACGAAACCAGAATCCTCCCCGACCACATACAATTTTTTGAGAAAAGCGAATCGCGAACCAGGAACATCCGAAACCATGGCTCAGGGCGCCATCAAGATGTCGACCAAGGCCGCGGCCACCAAGGTCGCCCACTCGAAGAAGCAGGCCTCCAAGATCACCAAGCCCAAGCAGCGCAGCAAGGGCAACCCCGACAAAGTCCACCGCAAGTTCACGTCCGGCATGACGGCGCGCACCGAGGCGCTCCTGGGCGAGCGCGCCGGCCACCTCGAGCTGATCGGCCAGGGAAAGAAGGGCAAGAAGGTGGCCAAGGCGGGCGGATCCAAGAGATTTGGTTAGATGGGGGGAAATTGCAGATTTTTCCTTTTTGCCAAATAGATCACCCTGATCATTTGTCGTTTTCTTGCGGGTTCCTTCCTTTTCAATTTCTTATTTTACAGCTTGAGACAACTATCGAGCTACGACATGGCGTTTTTATTTTGCTTAGCGGGGTCTTTATTGGTTTTTATTATAGACTCGGCAAATCTCTATGTATCCTGAGCGGTCAAATCTATGGAGACAGCCTCACTCGACGGTGGCGATATCAAACGAACGGCCCTCGGCAACTGCGGTGAGGATCGCCGTGACGACCTTGAAGTCTCGCTCGACGTCCACCTTCCAGTTCGACACGGCGACCCGCACGGCCTTGTCGCCCTTCCAGGCCGTCCCGCTCACGTACATCTGCCTGGTCTGGTTGATCTCCTCGACGAGTCTGGCGTTGAGCTCCGGGTTCTTGGCGCGGAAGAGGACAATGATGAATACCTCGTCCAGGTCCGCGTTGGGTAGCAGCTCGTAGTCGTCCGAGTCGCGCAGGAAGGCGGCCAGCCTGCGTGAGAGCTGGACCATGTTGGACACGAGCTTGCCGAAGCCGGGGCGGCCTTCGCTGAGGAGGGCGGCGTAGGCGGGGAGCGCCCGGAAGCGGCGCGAGTTCTCGAGGCCGATGTTCAGGGGGGACGGGATCGTGGCCGCGGACGAGGATGCGAGATAGGCGGCGTTGGGGTTCACGAAGACATTCTGGAGTGTAGATAGCGAGCGGGTGAAGAACATGCCGCAATCATACGGCTGTTTGTTCGTGCGTTAGCTCAGCTGATATCGAGTCAAAAATTGGAGGAATAGGTGGAAGTTCGTTCTTCCACTTACCACATTCAGGACCTTATGACCGTCCACCGTGATACTGTCGGCCAACTCCACACCAGCCACTCGTTCATGTAAGAGCTTGTATTCGTCGTTGGCTTCCAATACTCGGGCAAAAATACCAAATGCTATACAACATGCTGGTTAGCTCTGAGACATATTCGCGCTCTTCTCTGGGATCGAGAAGATCAAGGGATCTTTTTACCTCCATCCACATGAATCCAAGCTCCGTACTGGTCAGCCAGAGCCCTGACCCTCTTCATCTCCTCCAGACCATAGGTCCCGTACCGTCCCGTGTTCACCTCGCCCGCACTGATGGCAATGATGCTCGCCGCGCGGGGCCTCTTCAGGTGCTCCTCCAGCGCGGCGAAGTCAAGCCGCCACGGCTCCTCGTCAGACAGCCGCAGCTCCTTCACGGACTGCCTCCCCAGGCCGACGACGCTCGCCGCCTTGGACAGGGAGCTGTGGCCCGCGCTCGTGAGCACCTGGATCTCCTCCACGCCCGCCCTGACGCACGCGCCCAGGA